AGACCTTTGCTCAAGCTCTCCAGGTACCTGAGGTGGACAATCCGGTGGCCACCCTAGCCTCAGCGTCAGCGGTTGTCACAGGAGACACTGCCAGCTGCCTCAAGGCAGAGGACAAGAAGGCAGACATTGTTCTGCACAAGATGTTCCAGGCTATAACCTGGGCCATTAGGACGGCCGCTTCGGCTTCTTTCTTCAACAGGTCCACGGTGCTGTGGTTGGAGCAGCTGAGGGACAGGACTCCGGCCTCAGAGGTTTGTCTGCTGCAGGACATCTCCAAGATGCTGGCGGCAACGCAGTTCTCAGCGGACGCCACTCTGGATGCGGTAAAGTATGCGTCTTGGGCTATGTCTTCCTCGGTTGCTTCTGGGCGCCTGCTCTGGTTACGCCACTGGCAGGCAGAGTCCTGGATGAAGTGGCACCTAACAGACAGACTACACCGGGGAGAAGCTGTTTGGGATGGTGCTGGATCTTATCCTCGTGGAGGATAAGAACAAGCGGAAGGTCTTCCCAACAACGACCAGATGCTCGGACTTCCGCCATGCGCCATACCCCAGGAGGACTGCATACAGACCACCCGACGGGGACAACCAGAACCAGAGGTACCAGAACCCCAGGTTCCACAGCCAGGGGGATAGACAATTCCAGAGGGACAGATTCAGGGGCCAACAGCAAGGCAAGAGGCCCTTTCGAGGAGAAGGCGGTCGCCCCTTCCGCAGGTTCAAGTGATCCATCCCTGGATCACCCCATCGGCGGTCACCTCTCCCTGTTCGTGGATGCCTGGGAACGTATCACCTCGGATGAGTGGGTACTCCAGACGGTAAGGCTCGGGCTACACCTGGAGTTTCGCTCTCTCCCCTCCAGTAGGTTCTGCACCTTCGCCTTCTCCACAGACCCAACCAAACGGGCCCTTAAGGCCAAGGACATTAAACATCTACTAGATATCGGGCCATTGAAAGAGTCCCAGAGGGGGAGAAGGGCTCCGGCTTCTACTCGAACCTCTTCCTAGTCCCCAAGAGTTCAGGGGGTTGGAGAGCCATCCTGGATCCTAAACTCCTTAATTCCAGGGTGGTATACCGCAAATTTAAGATGGCCTCCCTCAAATCCATCCTGGAGGGCATCCGTCCGGGCGATTTCCTAGCCTCTATTGATCTCACAGAGGCATACCTGCACATCAGGATCGCCCCGGAACACTGCAAATGTCTTAGGTTTTCCCATGAAGGGAACCACTTCCAATACAGGGCCCATCCCTTTGGGCTGGCCTCAGCGCCGAAGACATTCACTAAGGTTCTAGCAGCGGCTGCTGGTCATCTACGCTCCCTCCCAGTCATTTTGTTCTGTTATCTAGACGACATCCTCGTCTTAGCCAGATCACCAGAGTCAGCTTAACAGGACTTGGGGACCACCATCAACACCCTCAGGGCCCTGGGTTTCTCCATCAACCTGGAGAAGAGTCACCTGGTACCAACCACCAGGCTCCTTCATCTAGGGTCCATCATTGATTCAGTAGTGGGGGAGGTTTTTCTGTCCCAGGATCGTAAGGACAGCATTGTTAAGATGATCCATGAGGTTTGCAAGTTATGCTCTGCCCCTGTAGTTCTTCTTTCCTGGGGAAGTTCATCTCGTGCATAGGGATCGTACCGTGGGCTCGACTACACGCCATGGAGCTCCAGTGGTTCCTGCTGCCCCACCAGAGAGCTGGGACGAGCGACGCCTCCTTCAGGATCCGAGTGTCCCCCCAGGTGCTGCTATCGTTTCGTTGGTGGCTGTCCCCAGCCCTGAACAGGGGATGCCTGGAGCATCCGGACCCGGAGTGGCTTCATCTGACCATCTGGCGATTGAGCGGGAACAATTAAGGGAGGCTCATTTTTCCAAAAGTGTCATCAGGACAGTAGAGGCGTCCAGAAGGCAGTCCACCACCCGCATCTACAACGCTTCCTGGGTGGCCTTCGCAGACTGGTGCCGAGCTAAGGGCCTCCGACCAGCTTCG